TTATCTATGTACTTGCATATTCAACGAAATTGTATAATTATCTCTCGTAGTTGTTTTAGAATGAATAAAGAATTTTTTTTAAATTTTTATGAAGTAAAATATATCGTATATTTTTTAATCGACGAATAATAATATATAAAAAAAGAAAAAAAAACAATTTGATTACCGAGTAATTTAAAAAAAAAAATGAGTCTTTACATTTACTATACCTCCTTCTCGTCTGTTGCGGCAACGGTATACGCTGTATTGGAATTTTCAGGTTCTTTCGCAGGACCGATTACAAACGCGTAGATCAATCCAGCTGCCATCCCACCAAGGATTGGTCCGATCCAATACAACCAGTGGTCGGTGAACGAACCCATTACAACAGCGCTACCAAATGATCTGGCTGGATTCATACCTGCACCAGTTCTTGGCACCTATTAAAAATGATACAACTCGTTCAACATATCTTCGTTTTAACTAATAATATAAATAATATAATACACAAATGTGAGTTCTTTTTCAAAAGATTCTGTAAAAAAGAAACGGTATAGTAATACACAATACTATCTTTAAGATTATATTAATCATAAAGAGTATATATGATAAAATTGCAAGATAGAAAAAGTATATTAAATTTATATCTTACGCCGATAATATGGCCAACGGAAACCGAAAGTCCAATTATAAGAGGAGCTATTCCCTTGCTGTCCGGCTTTGCCGCGTCACATGCACCGCACACGACCAGTACCAACACGAAGGCAAGGAAAAATTCTATACCGAAACCTTGGACAGGGGTAACGCCTGGTGAGAGAGATACTACGCCTAGAGCATGTTCCATCCTTTCAGGAGATAATGCTCTTAATATACCAGATCCCGCTATTGCACCTATGCATTGAAGTATTACATACAATAAGCCTCTAATAACTGGCACCTGCAAAACAATATAAGTAGATTTTTATAAATTTTATAATTGTTGCTTTGCTCAAAATTATTCACAATATATACATAAGAATTTTTCACTATCTTCTCGAACTTTTTATATTATTATATCGTACGGTTCTATGAATATGTATTATCCGTGCCCGTGTGTAATGCTGATTTTCTTGCGAATAAATGACTAAATCGTATTCCAGAAGCAGAAGGATGAATAATATATCGATAGATCATATCATTGGCAACCACTTTATCCTATATCACATCCAATCAAATAATTGCACGTTTCATTGTTTCCGTAACGAAGAATATAATCACAATCATAATAAATCAAATATGTATAAAAAGAAATAATAACCTATTTCTAATAACCTATTTCTTACCTTGCCAATAACCATTAAACCAAACGTGACAGCAGGATTAACATGACCACCAGAAACGTGTCCTACTCCTTGAATCGCTGTGGCCACGGCCAAACCAAACGCTAAGCTTATTGCAACGACGTTCCCCGTAATGACAGATCCACAGCCGAAGAAATTCAACAACAACGTGCCAAGAAACTCTGCAACTAGCGCGCGGTAAAGGCCGGCCTTTTTATCGGTAAGCTCGCTCGCGCCCAGAGCCTGTTTCAAAGTTGCCATCTACAAAACAATTAATCGTGACTTTTGAAGGTTATGTATATAGAGGCTGTTGCTTCTATTTGATATATATTCGATATATATATATAATATAATATATTATAATATTATATTATATATAATATATTATATTATATATAATATATAACCTTTCGAAGGTTATGTATATAGAAGCTGTTGCTTCTATTCGATATATATTCGATATATATATATATAAGAGTCAATCGTAGATCGTTTCAACTATAAGAAGCAACGTCCAGTTTTTTTTTCGCATTTAATTCCATGGCGTTTATAGTCCCCTGTTCAATCAACGATCCTTGAACGATACTTGGCGAAGTAAAAGATTCCGAAGGACAACTCGAACTTTTTGTTCAACGTCATTAAAGAACGGTTTAATAATCCCGTTAACGAAGAAAAAGTACAATAAAATTGCATAAGGTGAGTTAACAAGTTTCGATTCGTGGATTAATTATCTCGCAACATTTTGAACGGAAAATTTTACTGTACACGTTTTAATTAACTTTTTTTTATTTTTGTATTTTTGTAATTCAAGTTTACTATCACAAGAGGAAGTATCGAAGAAGAATAAGAAGAAGTTTGTTATTCTTTTCATTTAGTCTTCTCTCGTTGAGAGGAACAATTAAAATTTGATTAGGATTACGATTAATAATATTCGATGGATACGATCGTTCATTAACCAGTTTGAAAATGAAGCCGGTCGATCGTTTAGCAGTTCCGTCGATTCGCGTCATAGATTTAGATCGAGGACGCGGCCACGTGCAACGTATGTAACGCATGTGTGTCGTTTGCGCCGCAACGAAATTACAGTTTGAGTAACGAAACTGGTTAGGTTAACGAGAGACGCGTCCAGGTTGCATTACGCATGTAGATCGTCATATCCTCGACGGAGTATCCCGATCGAATTATTTAATCATTCCTTGTAAAATATTCCTTCCTCGACGCGGCTAATCGTCACCCACGCCGCCGTCGCGAGCCTTGCGCTATTCGACGCAAATATCTTAACTTGAGCGCCGCCTGGATCTAGGTCGGCTCCATCTTCCACAATCCCTTTTATTAATTTTCGTCCTACCTTCGACGCGTTCGTTGCGATCCATTTTCTAATAAAATCTCATTCGACCCTCTCTCGTCTTCGCGTGATCATAACGAGTCAAACGCGAGTAATAAAATGTACGTAGATACAAGGGGATACAAATTTTCGTTCGAGGATAAAATTCTGTGTATTTTTCCAGCCGAGAAAAAATACTCTCCATACTATTCTGAAAGAACGAGGTAAGATACTGGTTATATATATATATATATACGTTGACGAGTTTACGATAGCGTTAACGAAAGAACGCGACATTTCATTTGGTTCAATGATGAATTTAATCCGGGTGAGATCATCCGTGTTCAAACCGAGAAAGACCGAGACCACGCCATTCTCGCAATTTCCAACGCGACGCGTGTCACGTGCCCGTTGTTAATCGTTTCCAGCTACCTTTTTCCTTCTCTGATCTTTCTCGCGATAATGACACCGCTCGAACGTGCGAAACGTGTTACGGTATTTTAATTTCGTCTCCTCGCTTAAACCAAGATAAAGGAAAAATTTTTTTCCCTCGTGAAATGTGTTAACGAACCTTTACCACTGATTTATGTTTATTATATACGAGGATTTCAGTGGAATATATATGTGTATATATATATATATATATA